GGGAGCGACTCAAAGTCGCGTCAGTGTTCTTGAGTTTGGTGAGCGTAAGTGTTAGTCGAAGGAATATGCCATCGCATAGCAATAACTCGGACTTTTAAATATTTGTCGGACTTACAAAGGGCATGGCCTTGAGCCCTATAAATAAAAATCAAGTAAGAGCTTATAAGCATAAGGTAGAATAAAAAGTAGATGCTCAAAGAAAAACGTAGAAGCAAAAGCAATTGCCACATTCAATATGAATCACGATTACCTTATACTTGCAAGTAAATGCATCATATAAAGGAGTAAAAGCTCATATCTAAAGCGCACGTTGTGACGCTTCATCTACCGAACCCGGCCGGCTCATACCCAATAATGTACATTCCATACATCCTTTGCGGTTTACGCATTCGTTCCCATATAATTTAAATTTCACTAGTTCGGAATTCACAATTCACATATATACGTATTTATTCCAAGATCTTCAAAAGATGGAACAGCTCATTAATTACTAGATCAACAATACAACATATAAATATATTCACAATAAGATAAAAGATAAAGACGAAATTACATCAAAAACAAAAATTGCAACCAAACAAATAAGATTAGGTACACTTACATTAACTTCCTCAATTAGCACAAGACATGTATCCGCCTAAATAACTGCGTTGTCATTAACACCGTAGTATGCTTTGTTTAGCAGGAATCATTTAACTATTTTTTATACTCCATTATGCTTAGGAATTTAAAATATTGAGGGTGCAGTCCCCTCTCAGCTGGCACTTGAAGCAATTTTGAGCTTCTGGTACTGTAAATATTGTGGTCATTTAAGACGCGAAGCTGGGATTTGGTCAGTTTCATATATACTTGTAATTCGTATATGTAGATACAAGCTAATGTCATGAGTTTAGTGTTTACAAAAATATTCCTGCAAGACGACTTACTGTCAACCCCTGTAATAACTCGTAAGATTCTCTTTTACAATACATGTGAACAGTCTAGTGCTCTAATAGCAGTCGGAAATTAGAATTTGCTCGCCCACAGTTCTTTAGCTTTCATTATAGGATGACGACTTTCAGAAAACTGAATACAACGAGTAGCCTATAGAATAATTTTTTTACCACTTTTATCGCCAGTTTCAGAGTGCCAGAAACAGTGGGCTGCTCAATGCCTAGTTCATTCCCTGTTTCGCTTTAAAAACCTGGATTTGAAAAATATCTTAAACATACCTTTCTTCCGTGAAAAGCTGCCAATGCGCCACCACGCCGTACTAAACGCTCGCATAGAAAGTTCTGAGCTAACAACTCCGCATTTTCCCCTTCAAACCGCAACATACTTTATAAAATTACTAGTTGGCGGTGCGAGCCGTTGCTTTTAGTATTTCACATTTCAGAGATTTATCAACAGTGGTGCAAAAAAACCAGCAGAGCGTCTAAATAACAGGCTCTGATCCTACAAAATAGCAGCATCAGTATTCCACAAATAAATATTCGCCCTTTTAAGCAAAATCGTTTGCTTATAATTTTATTAATTCCCCTTAAATCATTAACTTTGAGTTTTGCAAGTGTAAGCATTTGCTCCCTTTTATTCGTAAGACCCCTTACATGATTTATCTCAATAAAAATAAAGTAGTAGATATACGTTATTGAGCTAGATGGTTAACATCAAACAAGCAAAAAAATATTTGCAGGAACAAGTTTTATTTAGCCGTAAATAAAAGGCGATAAACACTTAAAAATATTTTTTCCGATTGGAATTTTGTACTTCTTAACTTGTAAATGAAAATAAAGCTCCTTTATATCAAGTTTTCCAATGGAGGCTTGTTATATTTAACAGTATAAACATAAAAATTCAGATACTGCTTTAGAACTGGAGGTGTTATTAAAAAAATTATGAATTGGTTAAATGATAATAAGCTCAAATTATGCATTAATAAAACAAAATGTATGTCAATAGAGAAATATTTAGGTTACAATACAATTAGTCTCATGACTAATAATGAAAAAATTGAAGTAGAGGAGTCATTCAAATATCTGGGTATGTATGTGGATAGTAAACTACTACTATTTGAAGAACATTATGAATACTTTATTTCAAAAATGTCAAAAAAATAAATTACTTCTATAGAGTTTCCTATAATCTCAGTATGTATTCCAAAAAAAATTGTGTATAGCACTATAATCCTTCCCCATTTTTTTAATGCTCAACCAGTTTGTTTACAGCAAATTTATTCAAAATCACAAATTCTACAAAATAAGGCTATGAGAATCATTTTAAATAAAAACAAATATGCTAAAATTAAGTTCAATTAGTAAGACTACAGTGGTTGAATCGAAAAAAATATATTATTTACTTTTCATGTTCATGTTCAAATTAAAAAATCATTTTTACCACCAGATTTAGAAAAGTTAAATAGTCATCATAACTACGAATCTATAGGCAGTTAGATTTTCACCTACAGACTTGTAATAGTAGCAGCATAACTAGAAAATCTGTATTCCAAAAGGGAGTGTTTGAATTCAATAAATATAATATTGAACAGCGTTCGAATTTAAAAATGTTCAAGGAGAAATTAAAAAATCGCTTTACGAATACCCAAAATGCCCGTTAATATTATTTTAATAAACAAGAATGTAGAATTACAAAAAATTGGTTCAAACAATGTGCAAATGACTAATTATACAAAATTGACATTGTAGCATTAATGCTAAATAAATCTTCAAAGAGACAAACAAAAGCAAAATGATGAAGGTGTCACACGCTCTTATTTGAAACCCTGTGAGGACCGATCTTCAATATCATTTGAAGATTAAAACGTATAAAACGACATATATTGCATCAGAAGAAAATATGTATTGGTTTTTAGTTCGTCCATCAACGACTAAATAAAAGCATGTTTTTAAAACGTTATCTTCTTATGGATGGCCGATATGTAACTGACTGGTTTGTATCTTGAGTATTTGTGAAATGAAATAAAATACGTCCATTTTTTTCATCTTAATCTTTTAATGGAACTTATGTTTGAGAAATAATATTAGACAAATTTCCGCATCTAGAAGCCGCGCAAGCTTGAGCCCGCTTGATAATATTTTCCCTCACTTTTTGGTAGGTTTCGGGTGGAATATTTTGAATTACTTCCGTAATATTGTTCTTCAGCTGTTCTACAGTATTGGGTTCGTTGGCATAAGCCCTATTTTTCAAAAATCCGCATATAAAAAATACCCGGTGCCGTTAAATCCGGTGACCTTGGTAGCCAGTTGACATCACCAAATCGAGAAATTAATCGTCCTGGAAATATTGTATTGTTTCCGTAGCTTCATCCTGCTGGAACAACATGTTTTGTAGGTTAAATTTTCAGATTTGAGGAGCACCAGAAAGGTTTGCACTATATCACGGTAGCGCTCGCCGGTGACAGTAAGAGAATTACCTGCAGAGTCTTTAACCTTTAACCGCTAACGTGCGACAGTCGCTCACAACCGCTAACGTGCGGTCTAAGATACCGCTACCGGTTTCTGTTATTTTTTATGAATGGTACAACGTTTTTATTAAAATGCTCAAACAACAATGTAATTAAGTTTCAGTTAGACTAAGCGATAACATAAACATAAAAAACAACACAAAAATGTTTTTCTGGCAATTTCCAAGTTACTTCCTATCTAACACGCATTTGGGTTGCTTGCATGATGCACATCCGTATTGAGTTTTCCTTTTCAACTTTGGTGGACATCTGTAACATGTTGCTCTTTTTTCCAAGCGATCTTCTAGGACTTCTCTGCTATGAGCAGGATGGACAGCGCTCCCACATAAGTTTTCAATTGTCAGTCGCAATTCTCTTGGAAGTTATGAGTTTGCCATTCTAACTCTCCATTGTGTCAAAACCAGACTTCTTGCTAACTTTTTTAGAAAATCTGCCCTTTCCAGTTTTTGAGTATCTTTGTAGCTTGAGTACAAAACATAAGCATTTATTGTACTTACGTCAACAAGCATGAAAAATATTGCCATAGGCCATCTTTGTGTCCTACGACTTGGACTATAGTTTGCAGACTTTTTTGTCCAAACTATCCACGCCACCTTTTGTCGAATTGTAATATGCTATTATTTCTGGCTTACCAGTTTCTTGAACAGTTGATTCACAATGATGCATAGATGAAATCAGAATAACTGATTTTGAAGATTTTGGTACAAAAGAAAGTAAAGTCATATCATTATTGTATCCGTAGAGGCTGCTGTTGAGTTTTCGATTTTTGTTAGCTTGAAAGCTTGGTGGAATTGCAGCTTGATTCTTTTTTAGCGTACCTACATAGGTTAGACCCCTGTTTTGGAGTTCTTGAACCAATTCTACAGAGCTAAACCAATTATCAGCTGTAACATTTCTATTGGTTTTTTAAATTGGCCCCACTAGCCTGATTACAGAATGTGTTGGGATTTTCAATTTTAAAATATATTTAAAATATATTCATTATAAAGGTAATTATTTCGGGCATCTGTCAGGCACATTATTTTGATTCCGTAACGAGCCGGTTTTTTCGGCATATATATTTTAAATTTACAACGGCCCCTGAATGCTACGAGCATCTCATCCACGGTAGCATTAGTGCCAATAGAGAAGGCATTCTGGGAATTATCTATGAATTTATTATATATTTTTGATATGTGAGGGACAGAATCGCCCTCAATTTGTCTTTCATTTCGTAGAGTTGCATCGTCAAATCTAAGTAAGTAGTAACTCAAAGCGTCTTTTCGCCATGGTACATCGAAAAACGTCTCTTATTATGCCATCTGTGGCAAACAAGGACTCCATGCTCTAATTTCCTGATTTGAAAACTGAGGTAAATATTAGCATAGCTAAAAAAGCCTTCATTTCTATTTCATCGGTGGTGGATAATATCGGACTTGCCTGGTCTTTATACTTTTTTCTTGCATCAATGATCTTCACATTTGTCCACTGAATTATTTCTGCTATCATATCTGCAGAAAATAGAAGAAGCCAGATGTCTTCAATCTCCGAATTAGCGCCAAGCTGTTTAGCTTTTGGTCGTAGTCCAGGTAGAGTGAGTACAATGTTATGTTTTCTAGTCCTTACATTGACTGGAGGCTGGTCTTTATGCCTGAAAAGAAAACAACGATAAAGCACACACCTGAGTATTACCTCCACAAATGTTTTAGTAGTTACAGATTCTGAATTTTCTTACCATTTGAACTTATTTTTACCAATATAAAACCTCTTTTTTTCAATAGAAAAATCTTCCATCTTTCCTCCAACCAATTTTCAGTTTCATTTTCGTCTGGTATGTAGTCTGCATCGGAATCTTCTTCATGTATCTCCTCTGTTATGTCAGAATATTCCAGTTCATTATCACTTTCAGTGAATCTAATATCTTCTTTTTTTAAAATACCGCATAATGACGTACGAAGAATACCCAGATCCTGAGAACGATGTCTGGTAGACGTCTCAGGGCGCTCCACTACACTTTCACGAACTCTCTCGGTATTTTCCGGAGTACGAACAGTTGGCAAGTCTTCAACTTCACCTCCTTGAACAAATTTCCGCATCAACTGATAGATGGTGTTGACACTGGGCACACTTTTTCGACCGAAATCCTGTGGTAGCGTTCGAATCGTTGCAACAATCGACTCATTATTTAAGTAAAACGTTTTAACAATACGGACGCGTTGTGGGAGCGTGTAGCACTCCATTATAAATTGGACACATGTGCTTTAAACAACTACTACGGTGCCACATACTGAAATGCGTGTATCAAAAATGACGCGCAATTTAAGTCAGTCAGTTATATACTGGCCTGGTATTTATTGACGGTAATATTTGCAATCGGGGTGTAAAATCTGGCTTATTTTCCCTACAGTATGGTTAAAAAACCGTAGGATCTTTCATGCTGGTTGTTAATTTGCTTCGGAGGCGTGCTGACACAGCATGTGATAAGACTGGCCACACCTACACTGCGCAACGATAGTACAGGTCACCTAGGTAAATGTCCGCGCTATTTTCTATGGTTCTGTTTGCTTTTGCTACTGGCTACAGACGGTAAGCATTAGCCCTTAAAACTTAAGATCACAACGTCAACACGGGTGAGCCGTTTATTTCGGCTAGTCAGATTTCGGATCATGGAAGACGACCTGGCACGAATACATCTCGGCAATAGCGACAGCTATTGGTTAAAAGCTAGGCTATTTGTTTAGGGCTAAGGAGTATTTTTCTCCACATGACTTCCTCACTCTGTACAAGGCCCAGGTAAGACCTAGTCTCGAGTACTGTTCACATATTAGGGGTGCTGCGTTCGCACGGGCAGACCGTCGCCGATCTAGCACTTTTCAACCGCTACACCAATACGCTTTACTCCTCAGGACTCTCTCACATGTGCCTGCCAGACAGACCCGCCTGGCTCTAGCCTCCCATCCTAACCGTGTCTTACTAACCCTAGACAGTTCAAAAATCGGATTAACAAAAGTTTCTTCAAGCACCTCATAGCAGCCGCTGTGCCCTAGCGTTTAGGCTCCTACATGCGCAGCTGCTTCCGCGTAAAAAAACTTAATGTGAGGTCGGACGGATAGTTTATCCTTTGCCCAGGCCGCACAAAACTCTGAAGGGTTAATCTTTATTCCCCCTTTCTGAATCCTTTGCAGATGTTCATTTCATGAATGTCGTTGATAGTAAAACAAGCGATCTCAGAAAGATGTGGATATCTAGTTTATATGTCACTGTTTTGACGATACGCGTGGGTGTAGTTTTCACCCTTCTCGAACCTTTTCGTTTTTTTTGTCAATGTCAAACATTAGGACGCCTAACAAAACACAAGTGCTTCAAATTTCATCTAAGTCAAACTATCGGTTCCAAAAATATCTGAAAAAACGTGTTTTAAAAAGAAAACTATGATGCCTTCTAACGGACAAGCGAAGCACTTCTGAATAGAGATGAATCATGTCCAATCGACTTATTTATGTCCACCTAATATTGGGACACCCTGTAAAGCTAACGTTCTGCTTCTAACAAAACCTTCGGTCCATGGCCGAATGTTGAGTTTGTCAAAAATGTGGGTTGTGTTATAATTTCGCAATATTGCATCAAAACCAGTTCATGAAAAATTCGATCATAATTAGAACCTAACAAGGACCAAATCTTCGTCAAAAATGTTTAAATCAATTTTTTCAACAAATCCCAAAGTTTACTCTTTTGCTACAGTCAAAGGGCGTTTAGATTTTTTGAACAGAAATGGTACTCTAGAACTTTTCTCTTAAGTTGATAGTTTTCGGAATATAAGCTTTACAAAATTTTAAAAATTGCGAAATATGTAATTTTTTCGACCCCGAAAAACAATATGACGGAATGAATGAAAGTTGCTAATGCTGCTGAATACTTGTATTCTTCAAACATCAATTAACAAAACATTTCAGGACGCAATCGCTCAATGGTTTGTTCAGAATGTCCCAAAAAACCTAAAAGCTTTTTGACCGGAGGGAAAAAACAGTTTTTTGAATCTCCTTAAAAAAGACTGTCCAAAATATTTCTGATCCTGTTCCCTTATTGCGGGCATACCTACGATTGTCTTTTGATTATCGTCCAAGTTTCCGCAATGCTACTTGTCTTTCTTTGTGAAAACTTCATCCGACTGATTGCATCTGTCGTACTAATACGCTTTTTACATTGATCGATTGAAATGGATAATTCATATAAACGAATTAGTAAAAATTGATTATTATGATTAGTAACATTTATTCATTGTTTCATTCCTTTTCGGTACAATTTCAACTTTGAATTTGAAAAACTGAAAATATACGTCATATTTTTGCCATGAAAATTTCAAAAGTAATGACATTATGGCTCAAAAATGACTAGAAAGCATGTTATCTATAATACATCACGTACCCCAATTTTTCTATGGTATAGGGCTATTAGGGTGTTTAAAAACAATGTAATTCTTTACTTCATTACATTTTTGGTACCCATACATGTTTATTAGAGCAAAATAGTATCTGAAAGCTTGAAATTTGGCAAATTTTAGTTTTACAACATAGGCGGCCAAATGTGCTTAGGTGTCATGTCTTCTAATAGTCCTCCACTATACCTGAATCATGCGCACGATACATGGAATTTATAATCTTTACATTTCTTATTCTTGATTAAAAGTCCATCATTCTATAATACTTATCTCAGCCAACATGGGCGCATACACGAGTTTTTCTCAGGAGAGATCCCGCCGCCATGTTGAAATTCCTACCTGTCTAAGGAGTAAATTGGAGGGAGGGTGGAGGGTAAAGGAAAATGAGATGTTTGGATTTGTAATTATCTGTCGTTGAGAAATGATTTTGTTGAAGATGCGAATATCAGCATCAGTGCAGCTGCCCTTGTGACATAAAATTATTAGTGAACTTACAGCGTATTTTTCTTTTTCTAGCGGTCTTTGGGGGAGGAACTCTCACCCCGATTCCCCCTTCCTTCCCGTACATACGTCACTGCAGCTGTCACGTTCACGGTAAAACAAAATCCATGCATCAATCTTACCATAACTAATTTCGGCTTGATCCGCTCAAAAATAAGTTGGATTGACATTTATGGTGAAACGCACTATATCTTGGTACGAAGAAATCTTGTATATATTCAGAAACACAAAATACCCGTTCATCTTAAGCCCCTGTAGTCTTTCAACTGAAATACCATCACTGCATGTACCTATCAAACTTACGAATTCTATTGTGATAATGCCAGACTGTGTGTCAGATGCTTGGAAGGTCAAGAAACCATGTCATCGTTGTTTAAATATACAATGTATTTTATAAAGCCTCCCCCTACTTATTTTTTGACCGGATTGAATTAGTACGCTGAAATTTGATGCAATGGAATTGACACATGGTTACTACGAGGTATACGAATATTCGTGTGAAAGAGGCAGTTGAAAATTGCATGGCACGCTGTCAAAGTTGAGCGTTCTTACTTCCCACGTCTACTGGTGGGGAGATAATGTAATCGCGAAAAATTTCGAATATGAAATATTATCTTTTTTGGATGTTATCTAATGATATGCACATCACGAAAGACAATGTTACTCATTTGCGTCGGTCTGTCTGTTCGTCTATCGGTCTGCCCGATAATCATAACCGCCTATAACTTGAGAAGTACCTCACAGATTTTGATGAAATTTTCGAACATTGTTACTGTTATGTCAAAGACAATGAATCGGTCCAGAGGCGGCGGAGAAAAATGCCAAAGACAAAAAAAATCACTCAAGTTTCGTTTTTTTGACGTTCCGGACGGTCCTGATCATTTAGGAAAAAATTTTGTAGGTGTTAAAGAATGACGGTTACGGAATGCAGGCAGTGGGGGAGCTAGTTTAGTTTTTTCTCAGAAGGTCTAACTTGTGCAAAACGGAATCCTTTACGAACAGCGTAGTATGGGGAGTCAACTTACTTGACGCCATTTTTTCACTGGCAAAATGACATTCCTTCCAATATTTGTTATGGCACTTCGAAGTTTTAGAAGGAACTCAAAACGTCTTATTGGAAAATAGAGGTTTAAATATTATTTACGTTTTATCTACTTTAAAACCGGCCACCCCCAGACCTGCGGGTCCATATTATGTATTCATTTCAGTTACACGATCCTGTCTTAGTTTAAGTCTACCCTAAACAGAACCTCATCGTTGCCAATTTGTAGATTTAAAAGACTCCAAGCAATTTCAAACAAACTTGCAGGTGTCCTTTAATACCTTAATTTGCTACAAAATTCGTTCTTAGCTAAAATGTCCTATCGATAACCTACCTCCCTGCCAACATTGATGTTTGTAGGCTGGATAGTTTCCATTATTTCGTGATTAATCTGTATCTTTTCAGGGTGTTTCAAATTGTACAATGATCATTGGGATCTCGGAAACTGTAATAGATACGAAGTCGCCTAACAGAGGACAAAGCTGCATATTTAGGTAGAGACAAAAAAAACGAATGTCCCCAACATCGTTGTGATTTTTTCCTAACTTTATTTTTAGTGGTCTCAAAGTAAATTGCACATTAACATTGCCACTTTTCTTCCTCTACAAGATGGCATAATTAGAATTTCAATATGACCTTTCGTTTTTTGTCTACCACCATCAACTTTATT